ATATATATTATTTAAGGAAAGGACAAATTTATACTCCTAAACTTAGTAACGTTGAATCAATTAAAATCTCAAACCAATACTTCAGTCCATTAAAACTTTGAATTTTATCCGGCTAGAGGTAATGTTAAGAATAACAGTGTCCCAAGTATCTCAAATATCTCTACGATGGTATGATATTGTCCGATTTGGACATAGTTTTCACGACTTTATTTTTTAGTTTACTCAAAATGTCTCATACCAATGAAGATAATTGTTAGTTTGAAGAGGGATATGGCTGATTTATAAAGAGAAATTTTCATTGAAAACGATTCCTTTGCTCAAGAACAGCGATTGTGCCCTCTCTTATGTACCATGAATCACTCCATTTCCTAGTTAATATGAGACTTTATTTGCGCTTCTTACGAACCCAATTGCTAACTTCCCCAACACATAAACCATTGGCAAGAAAAACGTTGTTTATGCAAAAAATGTGACGGAGTATGACCTGGCCAAGGTCGGCCACGCGGAAGAGCTCGACTTGCTCCAGGTATAACCGTCGGGAGAGCTTGACCTGCTCTAGGTATGACCGCGAGAAGAGCTTGAGTATCCTTGGAAAGGGATGACCATCTCAAAGGGTCAGGAATAAACAATCGATGAAGGCACATGAAACCATTCTGTTTCAATAGAGGTACGAGAAACGATTAGGGGCAATGAAGTAGGTGAAGTGGTTGGATTTTGTGAGCTGTTCCAACCATGGCTGGATGTGATTCCAAGAGCCGAACGAGAATGAATACCACATAGAAGAGTCAAGACCAGGCTTCTTAATAGAATGTTTAACCGATCCATTTCGGATCGACCAAATTGGTACGGAAGTTTTAACATGGGAAAACCACAGAAAACACAACTTATTTGAATAAGGTCGGCTGACTAGGATGAGCTGAAGGCCACTTGGCGAGGAAAGACCTGCACAAGGGAACAAACACTCTAATGCTCAAGTCTGTTTTGAGTCCGATCTTAGTATGAAGACCGAGCTAGAATACGATACCTGACTGAAGAGTGAAGTGTCCTATTTATAGGCTAAGGTACCCGCAAGGAATCTGACCAGCGGTTCAGCGTGTCAGGACCAAGGTTGGCCTGTAGGGGGTAGCTATTCCAGCTCATACTCTTGTCATCTGGAATTTGGCTAAGTATGGAAKGTCGTTCCTCCTTTGAATGATCTTCAGGGAAGACCTTCAGATCGGCCTTTAAGGAAGACCTTAGGTTGGCCATTAAGCAAGGCCTTCAGGTCGGCCCTTAGGGGAGTTCTTCAGGTCAGCTCTCAGTGGAACTCTTCAGATCGGCCACCAAAAAGAAGATCTTCAGGTCGGCCACCAAAGGGAAGACCTCCAAAGTTGGACCTTTTTCAGTCCTCCACATAGCAATACGATGTTCAATCTCCAAACAAACATGATTATTTTATTTTATTACAAAAGTTACATCCAACCTGACTTTTTCACTCTTGAGGTTGAATAGTGTGAGTTAGATTTATTGATATTTCCTTGACTGATTTTTTATTGTTCGTTTCATGTGTTTATGTGCTTAATGCATTTGTTACCTCTTGATCATAGGTTAGTTGATGTTAGATCTGAATCTTATGCTTGGAGATATGGTTTAGATTGAAACTTCAATATATGATTGAAGTAGTTCTAAAGAGCGCAGTTTTGTTCCCCTATACCTAGATTTGAGAACATCAATAATTTTTTGCATTAAGTTTATCGGAATATTCGAACTTGAGAGCCCTAAGTCAATATGACCAATAGACCCCAAAGTCTTTACCAACCCGACTCTTCATTATTGGGGGCTAAGATTAACCTACATATTAATTAACTATATTAATGATTAAACTACATTAATGAACCTACATATTGATTAACTATATTAACATATAAATTTATTAACTACAATTATTGATATATATGTATTCTAATTTTCAGAAAAAAATTACAATAACTATCCTATAACATAGGTTTTTTTTAGTACAAACTCTCGAATGATAAAATTTGGTCAATGTTTGAATGTCACGTCGTCAATTTAAAATTATATTTAGGATCAATCCAAAATTTACACGTGTCCTAGATTAATTTTAAAATTGGCAAATTAAATTATGTCATGTGTCTCATTTATTATCGTCCGATAACATCAGCTAATTGGATCAAACTCATATAGAGATTGGGCACAAGCTCATGGCCCATTAAGCACACGATCCATATAAGACCCACCAAAAGCTCTATAAATAGAGGGGGTCATCTTTCATTTGAGGGATTCATAAAAATTCATAAGCATTGGAGATTCAAAGTCTTAAGAGCATTCAGAGTCATCTACAACCATTAATAGTGTGAACTACGAGGTTTCAAGAATTCTAAATTCTTCTCTTCGCCAAGCAACCGACTGAAGAACTTCTTGCAAGCTACGAGCCAAAGACTTCACAAGCCAATGACCTCACAAGTCGAAGTACTTCATCAAGCTGCAGATTTCGTCTAGGGAGCCGAAGACTTCATCAAGCCACAAACTTTGTCAAGCATCAAGCTTAACAGCCGAAGACTTTAAAGATTCTTCAATACACCAGAAGCTGAAAGCACAGATTCATTGATTCGAGAACAAGCTCACAAGCTCTCGAACTAAGGTTCATATCTGAGAGAATTAATCAAAGGATTATACATTAGAGATTGTACACTACATACATAAATACAAATCAACTTCATTAATTTGAGTTTTTTCTTCTTTGAAATTCTCGTCGAACACAAACTATATAAGAGCTATTATATAATAACACCCATAAATTTTCAATTGGACAAATCCTACAACTTTAATAAATCGTTGCAATTAAATCACACCATCAATGACATAGTGTAAAATGCTCAAAACCTATAAGAATTGTGTTACCACTAATGATGTGTGTAAACCAAGAACATCCATTGTCATGCCACAAGTACCAATAATGAGATCAAGAGCCAAGAAACTTCAACAAAGCTTTACTTTCTCATGTCCAACACTTTGTTAACTGAGCTAGAAATGATCAAGAGAAAGATGGAGCTTTTCAACTCAACATCTCCTCAAGTAAAGCTTCAGGCATTGCATTAAATGAACTCTAAGTTCATATAAAATAACTAAAGTTGAAGTGAAATTTAACTCAAGTTGCATTTAATAAAGCTAAGTTGGATTCAAGGAACTCAAGCTGTATTAAACAAACTTAACTACATCTCAAGCTTCATTTAGAGCAAGTTAGCCATCAATTAATGGAACTACACTTAAAGCTACTTCAAAATACTTCAAGTGAAACTTCATTTACAATTGGGAGGTTACAAAGAGATTGAAGGCTGGTCAAAACTTTAATTCTCGGATTCAAAGGCTTTTTCATTGTAATTTCAGTTTTGGACATTTCATTTAAGTCTTTTAAGTTATATTTTAGTTAGTGGTTGTTATGGTTATCATGTAATTTGGAGTTAAACTTTTCAAATGTCTTTAGGTTACTTTTAGGGTTGTTTTTGGAGACTATAAATAGTCTAGCTTGTTCCGTTGAAATTCAGAATTTTGTGATTAAATGAAAGTTGCAATTTTGCTTCAAAAGCCTAAAGCTTGTTTTCTTTTGCAATTCTTGAGTGTTAGATTTGTATGCTAGGATCAGTTTAGAAACAAGTTTTTTCTACTCTTAATATTGATCATCAAAGTAATTTGTTCTAGCTATTCCTTGGGATGATACAACTTGAATTTTAGATTTTAATATTCTGTCTTATAAGGGTTCTAATTCTATCAAGGGTTCTAGTTGCATTAGAATTTTTTTTATCAATCAAATACTTTTTTTTTTGGCCTGAATACAAGAACATCGGGGGAGAAAAGAGTGTAAGGATTCAAACTTACAATTACCTTCTAATTAGATATGTGCTTTAACAGCTAAACTCATATTAGCTATTACAATCAAACTCTTGAACTATAAGATGGGTGTAACTCTAAGTTTTTTACTTTTTTAAAATTTGAGAACTATAATATTAACAATTAAAAATTATTTTAAATTCATTAATAACAATATTAATTCAGACGTCATAACCCTAGGCAAAAATGTATTCTTTAGAGTAGAATATAAGCGAGTCAATTCATATTAATTTTTAGCTAAAATCAACCTTTTTGTTTAGTTCAATATTAAATCGATGTGTATCGATTTAAGAAAATATAATCCAAATTGATTTTCTAAGAATTAAATTGAACGCCTAACAGAAAATTGGTAGTTGATTTTACTGGTTTTAATTACTCTGATTTGGAAAATGAATTTGGGCATAATTTTTTCTTTTTCTTAAATCGATAAGTCAACTTTATATTAGCTAAAAATCGATTTGAATCAATCCACTCATGCCATGGCTCAAAGACAAATCTCTACACAAATTATGTTTTAGTTGATATCATACTTAATATTATAGTTATTGAATTTAAAATAAAAATTTCATGATTAATATAGTATTTTTCTAATTCTTAGAATTAAAAATTTTTGTGTAGAAGTGTAACAATCCTTTATTTCGAAGATTTGATCGCAACCATTTTTATAATTTAAGTTTGATTTATGTATTTTGTAAAATTTCATTAGCCACACTATAAGGACATTGTCTAATTGCGGCAATTTCGATAGATCGATGAAATTTAAAATTTATGAGTGTGATTATAATACTTTTCGAGAATTTTGTAATATTTGCATTTTTTTTTTTTTTAGTTTACCTAAATTAGGCTAGATTTGAAGTTGGCTGCTGAGACAAATAGCTCAAAGCCCAGCCCACATTCAAATGAATCTTTGGAAAACGAAAAGAAGGCCCAAATGAAGGTGGAAGGCCCAACCCAAATACACTACAAAATGAAAGCGGTGGGAAACGAACCACGATGCAATCCGAGCCGTCCGGCAAACGGCAATCGAAAGGTAGTGGTGACGATCCGCGTACTCTCACCCCATTGGTTGCTTTAAAATGGGTTCCTTATATATTGTCCATACACGCTTCTTCACTTCTGTCATCTTCTTTTGTTGAATCAAAATATTCGCTCTCTGGAATTTCCCCCTTTCTCTGCGCCAAAATTTCCATAAATCAATGGCGGGAAGAGGCAAAACTCTGGGATCTGGAGCCTCCAAGAAGGCCACCTCCAGGAGTAGCAAGGCCGGCCTGCAATTCCCCGTCGGCCGTATCGCTCGTTTCTTGAAAGCCGGTAAATACGCAGAGCGAGTCGGCGCCGGAGCTCCGGTTTACCTCGCCGCCGTCCTCGAATACCTTGCAGCGGAGGTACGTAACTTTCTCCACTTCTTTCGTCTGAGGTTTTCAACTGAACTTCTGTTGCGAGTTGCGAACCGCGTAAATCGCTGATTTCTCTGAACTTTTTGTGAAATTTTTAGGTGCTTGAATTGGCTGGAAATGCCGCAAGAGACAACAAGAAGACTAGAATCGTGCCGCGCCATATCCAGTTGGCTGTGAGGAACGATGAAGAGTTGAGCAAGCTTCTCGGAGACGTGACGATCGCGAATGGCGGTGTTATGCCGAACATTCACAATCTGCTATTGCCGAAGAAGACTGGAAGTTCCAAGGCGTCCGGTGGCGATGATGAACCCTAAATTAAAGAGAAGAAGCGCTCCAGCTGTTCCAATCTGAGAATTAGGTTTTTTCTGTTTCTTTGTTAGTTTATTAATGTATTCTTAACTTCAATCAGAGATCTGATGTGAATACGATCAATCTTCTTCACTCATTGTGGATTTCTTTTCCTTTGATTCGAATTGTTGATTCACAAATTGATTCGAAATTCTTTGGGTTTCTTGTTTCGAGTCTGCAATTAAGAAATGAATGGCTTCTCACTTTACTAAATTCCATTAAGAATAGTTTCTAACTTTTAAATTGTTTATTTTTATATTTGAATTTTAGGGTTTTTTTTTTTGGACAAAACAGCTATTAATATGTTGATGTATATTTGTTCCACCTGAATATATATTGAGAATTTTCCCTTACTATATATTTTTAAACATGAAATACAACATAAATGACTTTTCTTAATTTGTATTATATATTTTTGGAAAATTTTATTCTTCTGCCACATTTTTGTTTTATGCTGTTTATAAAATACTTCAATTTAAATTTAATAACTTAAAAAAGACATAATTGTACGGTTTTTCCTAATGAAATGTGATGTTCTTTTTTAAAAGATAATGTTTGAATTTTTTTAATTTCAAATTTTAGTTTAGATTTGAGTAGATAAAATAAAGCATACTGGGCTTAATTTTTTTTTTAAAAAGAAGGAAATGGTTATGTAGTGGAATTAGTTGTGAAATTTATTGCATAAGATAAATAGGGGTAAATACACAAATAAGATATTCGTATTTTGGGAAAAAATTCTCTTCTTATTTTTTAGTCTGAATTTTAGGTTTAAAAAATCTGTAAACTAACATAACCACGAAAACCTGATTGGGAAATAAGCGGCGTGAAACTTTTTTTCAGCTCATCGTCCCTCCCTCCATTGAATATTTTCATATATTAATAGGTTCGACATGGTAAATTAATATTTTCATAATATTATAAAAAAATGATAAAATATAAAAAATATGAACAAAATATCACTCATGTTAATATTAATTATTTTTAATTTATTTAGAATTACTGAAATTTTTTATAATTTTTTCATAAATATTTATCGACATTGACATTTTATGGATATTTTTATCGAATATTTTTATAAAATTGAAATCTTGACATTTTCGTCGAAATTGACATTTAAAATCTTGATAATAAGTACACGAAAACTTGATACGAAAAAAACTTTAAAACTATATTTTCAATATAAAAAAGGGGCCGTAAATAAAATGTAACATGAAAAAAATAATAAAAATTAAAGAAAGTTTGATATTGAAACTCAAATTATATAGGATAGTTCAACGGTTATCTACTTATTTCCTTTGAGTTATAAGTTCAAATCTTCAACGGTTATCTATTTATTTCCTTTGAGCTATGTTATAGGAAGAAATATATAGAACAGAGAAAGCGACATAAAGGGAGTAGAGGACGGGAGAGAAGTGCGCAGGTAAGCATCAAAGACCGTAGACTTGGGCCAACCTAGGTCGACCAGGCTTTGGCGCCGAGGTGTTCTTGGCCAAATGGCCGAGAACCCTCATTCGATTTCCTCGATTCTTGTGCAACCCAATCCAAAACCCTGTCCGATCTTGACCCTCTATTCGATGTTAGGCCCATAATGAAACACATGAGTCAAGAAATTCAGATCTCCTAAAGATGCTAGGGTTCGACTTCTGTAAACCCTAGGGAGATTAGGATTCAACCTCTACAAATAAGGAAGCCACACCGTAAAGGTACGCGAATACACCCTACTCTCCACACTCGAATTCTCCGATACCAACTTAAGTATCAGAGCCCGTGTGGCAAGAACCATACCGGTCCTAGTGCTATTCTATTTTGCAAGTCACGTCAATCCCTTTCATACTTAGAAAGATTTGTGCAAATTTAGCTAGATGTAAGGAGACCAAATTTTTGCATCAACAAGTTCAAATCTTCACAGTTTATTTATGTTGTACTGAAAAAATATCTAAATATATATGGATTAGTTTTAAATAATAAAAATAAATAAAATTTAGAAATTACATAGAAGTACCAAATTCAAATTTTGTTTAAAGGCTTAGTAAAAATTTTCATCCAAGGCCTTCAATCGCCTTGAGTTTCCCAAAATCTCTGGGGAAGATATTCCAACAAAGTTTGGCACAACTTAAGCATCCTATCATCTACCCGTCCCAGCAAAGTGAGGGGTAGATAATATCATCTATGAGGAGGTTGGATGAACACTCCAATACAATTTACTCTCAAAATCAGAATCTTATCGTATATTGGCAAGTTTTACATCGTTTGAGTTCCCTTCAGGTCTCTCCTTTAAATGTTTGTATTTTTTATCATATGATCACAGAACTCCACTTATGTCGTTGGGCTATAAAATTAAAATCTTGTTTATAAAATTATTAAAGAAACATGCATTATGAATCAAAATCAAAATCCTACCATGGATTAGCATTCCACACTGTAGGGATTTTGAACACATTGCATTTGTATGGTTGAGCTCAAAGAATTAAAATATTGTTAATAATCTTGTTTAGTCCTTATTTAAAAATAAATAATTCGAATATGAATATTATCCATAAAGAAACTAATTGGCACCTTAAACCATGCAAATACCAAAATTAAAATCCTACTATGAATTATTAAGTTCCACAAGATTTTGATCTTGAAATTACATTTGTATTGTTGTGCTGCAAAATATGTGGAGGCGAGGACTCGAACCTCTAACTTGAATCTCTAAACTATAAAAAAAAATTTAACATACATCTCTAAACTTTCAATTTTATTTTTACAAGTGATGCGAATCAAAGAATATTCATTATCATGCCTCAAGGTCCCATAACAAGATCAAGAACCAAGAAGCTTCTTCAAACTTCTACGTTCATTTAAAAGAGCTAAATGAACTTAAGTGTATCTCAAACTTTATTTCGTGCAGTTCAGCCATCAATTAACACTTTAAACTACTTCAAACTACTTTCAAGCAAAACTTCACGTGACTTTAATTCTTTGATTCAGTGTCTTCTTTTGTCTTTTTTTTTTTTTGTATTTTTAATTTGAAACATTTAATTTATCTCTTTAAGGTTATTTTTCAACTAGTGGATGCTATGTTATTGATATAATTAAAAGTTACAACTCTTGAATTGTCTTTAGATTACTTTTGGATTTGTTTTGAAGACATTTACATGCTACAATAATTTAAGTATCATTGATCTACTTGTAGAGTGGTTCTAATCTTTTGTTACAAAATTTCTCTGCTTTTGATATTAATCATTAATCATCAAAATAATTCGTTGGTTCTAGCTATATTCTTTTGGGTTGATACTAACTTGAATTTGAAATTTTAGTATCCTGTTTTATAAGAATCCTAATTATATCAAGAGTTCTTATATATACTTGCACTAAGGTTCTATATCATCTTTATCGTCAACACAATTTTGAAAATGTCTGCATGATAGATTAATTGGACTTAATTGCAGTGGTGCAAAAAAAGTAGGTCAATTGAATAAAATAAAGGCAAACAAGGTAAAAAAATTAATGAGACAGATCAACGGAATACATTTCAAAATAACTCTTTTGGTTCAATCATCCTTGAGATGGTTTGAGGGAAGGGAATTGAATTGAGAGACTTCAACATGATAAAGGATGCATTGCATTTTCTAATTGAAGATAATTTTGTTAAAAAAAAAATCACAAACGTTAAAATAATATCGTCTTTGCACAACTCAAATGATTAGGCATCTATAACTCATTACAGATGGCAGATTTGAATATCTACCCCTAACTTGTTATATAATACCAAAAGAAAAAATTTTAAATAGTAATGTCGGAGAATAATATCTTAATATTTAATTTGCAGTTTGTCAATCTCCTTGAACAAAATATTTAAAGAAACAAATACACTTCCAAATGTGAAATATGCACACTCATAATAATAGAAACTAAAGTCTAGCCTTTAGTATATCACTCCATTCAAGCTAATATTGATCAAGCAGGGTTCTTTGGTGATTGTTCTTACCGGGGATCTGGGAGTGTAATAGTTAATTCGTTGGTCGAAGTTGATTTATCTTTACTCGAGCCACCGCCCATTGCACTGGCTTCATTTTCTGCAAAAAATCCTGGTTGTTTCGGTTGCAATAAGGGAATTTCACAGCCTAACATCATAACAACCGATGCCATTGTGGGTCGATCATTGGGATGTTGTTGAACACACAACAAACTGATATTGATACATCTCAAAACCTCCGTAGAGATGCACGTTTCTCGAATGGCGTCGTCGATCAATTCTTCTGGATGTCCCTCTTTCCACAATCGCCACGCCTATCATGCAAGAAATGAAGAAAATACATTTTCCCAATCAAAGAATCTTGAATAGAASAATGCTAATAAACAGTTAAACTTTGGGGACTTACATATCCAATCAGATTTTGGTCATTCAAGTGGCAGAAACCTCTGCTTCTTTTTCCACTAATGATCTCCAACAACAAGATGCCATAACTAAATACATCAGATTTTATCGAGAATTGTCCATCAAAAGCATATTCGGGTGCCATATATCCGCTGTGGAGAATACGAAATTTAAAAACTTGAATTGACAAAGCACAAAAACAATATGTTTGAGGAAAACATCGAGTATCCCTTACTAAGTTCCAACCACTCTTATCGTGTGTCCTTCAGTTTGATCCCCACCACAAGTTCTAGCAAGACCAAAATCTGAGATTTTTGGATTCATATCCATATCAAGTAAAACATTACTTGCTTTTAAATCTCTATGTATAATCCTCAATCTGGAATCCTGATGAAGATACACAAGTCCTCTCGCGATTCCACATATAATGCAATACCGTTTTGACCAGTCTAATAATAGACGCTGTGTTCGATCTGTCAATTTCATATTTACTTAGCAGCCCAACTAAATTCAATTTGAAAGTACAAGATCAACGTTAAACAACATATATTTCAATTAATGTGGCAGACTAAGAGATTGAAGTTTTAAGGGATCCTTACCAAATATAAAGAAGTCCAAACTTTTGTTTGGCATGTACTCATAAACTAGCATTTTCTCGTCTCCTTGAATGCAGCAACCAAGAAGCTTTACTAGATTTCGATGTTGAAGTTTTGCAATTAGGATTACTTCGTTCTTGAACTCATTCATTCCCTGTCCAGAACTCTGTGAAAGTCTCTTCACTGCAATATCTTGTCCATTTGTAAGCTTACCCTGAAAATTCAAATTTCCCTAAACATTTCTGATTTGAAAAGAATAAGAAGTGTTGGTCAAACCAGTTAATACAGAACAATACCTTATATACTGGCCCAAAGCCACCTTCTCCTAGCTTATTATTAAGTGAGAAGTTATTTGTGGCACTATTTATCAGGGATAGATCAAACAAGGGAAGCTCCAGGTCTTTAGCTTCTATTTTCTCATGGTCATCTGCAATTTGAAGGCTTTGTCAATGTTGAAATTTACATAGAGACACTGACTGAATTAAGATGGATTCAATCTATTGAAGCCGGCAAATGAAACTTTATGAGGAAAAAACAGAAAAAACAAAAAAAAAGATTCAATCGTTAGCTCATTGTTGAATAATGCAATGAACACGATGCAAAACAATTATGATGAAAAATGTTTAGGCAGCTCATTTAAAGATCATATTATACATGACGGAAAACAATTATCATGAAAAAAGATTCAAGCAAAAAAAGTGACCTTTTGTTTCGACCACGATTTTCAATCTTTAAACTATCTTCTCATAAATTGTTTCAGTTTTGGCATATGTGTTTGGCTTATTTCAGACTTTCACTTCATCAGTATCCATTGGAATAATAGGATTCTAGGAAGATGATGAAGATAAAATGGCAGCATGTGTCTTATACAATGGTGGTTCGAGAAATAATTACCTTTGAAGGTTGATCTCCTTTTGAAAATGTATACGCCTATGAACAGGATTGCCAAAACTAAACCGGTGGCAATCCCAACCAAAGCAATCTTCACCTTATGATTCAATCTTTCAGTTTCATGTGCCTCTCTATGCTTGACTTTCCACATCAAAGCAAAAGTTAAACAATTGGTATATATATTAATACATCAGGAAACCAAATCATGGTTAATTTGTTGAACTATTATGTATGAAGCACTAAAAATTTAACATAAGCTTTACCTAATTCTGATGCTAGCATCCTGACATATAAATCTTGTCCAGCGTCCGGAATCAGTTTTAAGTCAATTAGATCACCAATCCATAAGGCACAGCCACTTCCACTACCACTGATATTTGTATTTGCACAAGCCATACAAGAGCAGTTCCTCGAGCATTCTGCCTTGCATTCTTCAAGATTCATGCTTCTGTTGACCCAAGTATGCTTTGTGTCTGGCAACTTCAGCTGGTTGAACGGTGCAAATCCTATTTCATCACGACAATTCATCGGTTTGTTCCGTTCACAACCATCCGCAAATTCCCCTGCCTTCCAACTGTCAGGTGATCTTGGCTTAAACCCATCTAGACATTTACAAGATGGAGTGACCCTTATATCACAATATCCATAAGGGCCACACAGAGCATAATTGTCACAGAAATCTCTCGGTAATGAAGTGTAAACTCTCCAATGTCTCTCACTAGCAGACCACAAGTACATTATGCGCATGTAATTGGATTGGTTCAACACCACCATCACTGTATGAGACTTATTTACAACAGAGTATTGGTAGTAAACTTCATCCTCATTAGAAACAAAGTTGAAGTTCAGAATTGGCGCTATGCCTAATGGTCTACTAGTGACGCGCACACCATTCCATGGGCCATGCCTGAAGTACTCTTGGGAACCTTTCCACATGATAGACTCAGGATATTCATGAAGCTCCATCCTCCAACTCAGGTTTCCAGGAGATGGGTCATTGGGATTCTTCCAAGCAGACAAACTTCTATCTATGTTATTTCTCAAGTCCCAACCCAGCTTCATTCCAGGCAAGAGAGTGTCGGTTGGGTAATCAAAGCTTTGCCAAGAATAGTTTTGGGGATCTAGATCTTCCCCCTTTCTCAGCACGAGATTTCCAGTGTCCAAAAGCTGGAGCACCCCATTGGGAACTTTTCTCAATAACCTGGCGGACCAAACATTGGCAGTGAAATTCTGGCTATAGAGTGTGAGATTTCCCGTTGTAACGTTCATAACCAGCACACCAGACGAATCATTAATGGGGGTTTGCCTGTTGGCAACCCAAACGGAGGTCGGACCTCGCCGATTCTTGAACCAAATTCCCAAGTAACGGTCACCGGGAGGACCAGGACTGAAGAAACCCAATTCGAAGTTTCCATTTCTGGAGACCAAACTAAGCCCGTCGCTGAGAAATGGGTTTTGAGCAGTCAAGGAATCAATGGCAGCTGCAGACCTGAAGAGAAAAAATAAAAAGTTAAAAGCGACGAGTGTTGAGGAGAGAGAGTCCATATCGAAGGGCAGCCATAAGTCTAATACTCACCGAGTTAAAAGGTTACGAGTTCAATGGAGTCACTGTAGAGCGATTGGCGGCCATACCCACTTTATTTGACGCTATTTTAGAAGGAAATGGACTTCCAAGTTGCCAATAATGGTAAACACCTACCGTCCCTTTTCCTTTCTTTCTTTTTTCATTTTTCTAATTTAGTCCCTAATTACACACATATATATATTAAAAAAAAAGCTATTTTTAGGGGGACATTGGGATTTTTTTAATAATTTTGACCTTTTTTAGAATAGACTAGTCACTACTGTGACCCACCCTCCTTATATTTTTTTTATCCGTTTCATAATTTTTAAAGATGAAATTACTGTGCTACTATGTTTCAAAATCGACAATCTCTCCCTCCCTCCTCGTTATAAGAAAAAACAAATTTCTTTTCAATATTTATTCCCCTACAAATCTCTCTCAATAATGCATTATAAATTTAAAAAATCTAAAACTTTTAAACTTGAAAAATCTAACTCAAAAAGTTAATTAAAGATTTAATATGGAAAAAATCGAAAAAAAAAGTTGAAATTACAAAATGGAATATTAGATATTCAATTAATATGAAAAATTGAATGTACATGTTACATAAGATTTGTCCGGATTTAATGACAAGAAAAAATCAAGATTTCATAAATTTTGGGTCAAATATTGCATTAAATGTCTGAGATTTAATAGATAACAAATAGGACCAAGAGGGGAGAGAAAGCAAAAAAAAAAAAAAAACTGGATTGGTTTGGATCCCGATCCGAGTTTGTTCAATCCCAGTTCGGGATTGTGCTATCCTAGACAGGACAGACCAATCCAGTCCAGTTTTTTTTTCCTCCCCTCCTAGTCCTATTTGTTGTCAATTAAATCATGTAATTTTGGTTTGAATTTTATGAAATTTAAAAAAAAAAATTTTGTAATTAAATCTTAAAAAATCTTATGCATTTATTCATGGAGATGTAAATGTTTTTTTCACCCTAATTTAATTATTGGAGGATTTAATCAACAGATTTTTTTGGATTCATTTATTAAGTAATTGATTCAATGAATCCCTATTAGATTCAAATTTTAAAAAAATAGTAAGGGTTGAGGGAAGAGTGGAAATGGGGTTTCTAACCCCATTATATAACTCATTTGAATTTTTGACCTTTTTTCAAAAAAACCTAATTTTTGATCCGTTCTAATTTGGGACTTATTTCCACTTTTTGTCTTTATAAAATTACCAAAATATCCTTGTTTATTTTAAGTAAAATTATCCACCAATCTTCTCTCTATTAAATCCTCCCATAACTGAATTAGGGTGAAAAAAAGATTTGCATGATCCAACAATAAATGCATGAGATTTTTTCGGATTTAATTACAAAAAAAAAATTAAGATTTCATAAATGTCGGGCGAAAATTGCATTCAATACCCGAGATTTAAAAAAAAACTGAAAATTGCGGATCTCGGACTGGGATTGACCCCTATTGTTATCAATTAAATCTCGGGCATTTAATCAAATATTGGCCCGATATTTTTGTAATCTTGACTTTTGTGTAATTAAATTCGCACAAATCTTATATAATTATGTACAATTTTCATGTGTTCCATATTAAACTTTTAATTTACTATTTAAGTTGGATATTTTTCTTAAAAGTTAGATTTTTTAGAATTGTAATTAATTATTGTAAGAGATTTGTGGGGGGAGTAAAGATAGGAAAGATATTTGTAGGGGGGAGATGGTTGATTTTGAAAGATGAGGCGAGGCGATCCCCATCCCCACCCAGCTTGAAACTTTGGGCGTCCCCGTTAAAATATATATTTTTATATAATTTTTATTTTAACTTTTAAAATTTTAATTAAATTTTTATTACTAATATAAGAAGGGAAGAAATAGAGCGGTGTAAAACATTGGAAAAACGAGGTCCAGAAGAAGAATGAGCTCATTGGCGGAGATCTTATTACTTCTCCAGCTACTGGTGTTCTCTTCTTGTTTTTGCCAGTGGAGGAATTCTGCAGCAACGACAACTTCGTCCTCATTGGTGGGCTCTACCTAGTTCTGAGAGTTGCAGTCCACCTGACTTTTTTCACTTCTAAGATTTGATTTCTCGAATTGTTCTCTTTTTCTTATTTTAAACATTTGATTTCTCCATTGTGAGATGAAACATACGTATAATTGGCTCATAGTTCAATAATAATTATTATCTACTTCTTCTCTCGAAGAAGATTCAAACCACCATATAATTTATTGCACTATAAAAAATGTCAACAAAATCAAGGTAAAAATCTCATTAAGTCTATTAATTTTACCAAAATTTAAGCTTGCACAAAATTAACCTCCAAATGGATGGTTGAATAAATATTCTAAAACCCACAAATTTCAATAAAAATCCTAACTTTAGTGTTGCCTTTCTTTAAAGCTTCATCAATTTAGTACTAGACGTTTAAACCTGTGCAAACAACAAGATAATAAGGTTGGTAATATGAAACAAGAGATTCAACAAAAACTGAGAGTTATATTTTTATGTTTTTAATGTTTTTTAATGTGTTTGGTAACCTATTTGATAATTAAATCTCAATTTAAAAGAAGTTGAAGGTATATTTAGTAATATATTTATAAAGTAGTAGTAGTTGACTGCTAAATATTTAGTTAAATCTAAAATATTATTAATTAATTTATTAATATTAAAAATTGTGTATAATTATTATTTTATAATATTATATAATTTATAATATATCATGTTTAACCTATTTTAATTTTAACAAAAATCAAATGAATTTATAACATGAAATATTATCTATTGTATATATAAAATGGAAACTTTTTCTTCCTATTTTACCTTTTTTAATTTAAACATTTTCATATTTATTTTGAGGATAATTTTGTCATTCACTATAAAATTTTCCCTCTCGTTCTTTCTTTCTCTTTTTCTCCATGCCACTTCTCCCATTTTTTTTTTTCATTTCTTTCAAAATATTTTATCTCCAACTTTACAAATCCCACTTTTTTTCAAATTAATTTTCCCTCTAAAATGTTAGAACAAAGAATTAGAATATGTATAGTTTTGTCTCTTTGTTTGTATGAATTAATTAAACTGTTATAAGTTATTTTTAATTATAATTAATAAGAAATTTCAAAAGTTTCGTAACTTTTATTTTTCACAACTATATATAAAGGGTAAAATACTCTTTATCCCTACTTTTTCTTCGTCAAAACTTAAGATAATTTTCCCTTTCGACACGTTATTCTCCTTTAGTCATGTTTTGTATTTTCTTATCTTTAGTTAGATTATTTGATCGAACATTCAACTTTTAGTTTCTTTTTTCTAATGCAATGTTTATAATGGTTATTTTAAAGAATACTTGATTACTTACAATATATAAGTAATTTATTCAAAAAGTGTAAGAGATGACATATTTGCTGTAATCATTTTCTTTTTCAATGATTCAAATAAGAAATTAAAACAAAGTTTTATTTCTTTTTATGCATGGTTATGTCCAGGAAAAAAAAGATGAAAAATTCATGAATATTTATTTTTCTTTGAGAAAAGAAAGAAGAATAATATTTTTAGTCACACTAACTAGATCAATGGATGATGAAAATTATTGAGACGTCTGAGATAAACATGAAACAAAATAAAATTGGTGAGGTAAATTGTACGGGATAAAAAAGTCAAATTATATTAAAAATGTTAACTATTTAAATAATTTTTATATTTTTAAACATTAAAATAAAAACTAGTTTCTTGCCATTAATGTAATTTTGCATTTTAAAATTTTAAACTTAGAATCTGAAAGAAATTTTAAAGTTCAAAAATTTCATTTTTGAAAACAAATTTACAATTCAATAAATCCATTTGATTTAATTAATCTGCAGAATCTCAATAAAATATAAAATGCATAAACATGAGCCAAATAATTGCTAGCTGTGGCCTGTGTGCACATTAATGCCTTCTAAAGAAAATGACGATTCTACCCTCCCCAGAACAGCATCTTTGTGGTAAACTGACGATTGTACCCCTGAAACGAGCTTCTTCGAAATCGCATAGCCTGCAAAATCGAATCAGCGAAATCCATCTTCATTATCTGTATCTTAGTTGTCTCCCTCTCCCATGGCCATGGCCGCTCCTTCTCCGAAAACCCCATTGACCTTCTTCAATATATATCCCCTCTCCCTCTCCCCTTTCTTCCTCGCAAACCCAAATCCAAGCCCTAATTCTTCTTTATTTATTTCCCATCGCACGCAGTTTCTGAAATTGAGATTCCGATGGCGGCCGCAGGCGCAAACCAAGTCCCCGAGTCCGGGTTCCACGACTGGCTGCCGACGATGGCGGCGAGGCTGGGCGGCGAGGGCTTGATCGGCGAGCTCTGCAGCGGATTCAGCCTTCTGATGGACAGAGAGAAGGGGGTGATCGATTTCGAGAGCCTGAAGAGGAACGCGGCGGCGCTGGGGCTGGGGGATCTGACGGACGAGGATCTCAGAGGGATGTTGAGGGAGGGGGATTTCGACGGCGATGGCGCTCTCAATCAGATGGAGTTTTGTGTTCTTATGTTCCGATTGAGCCCCGAGTTGATGGACGAGTCACTGTTTTGCCTCGACCAGGCCCTCACCCACGAGTTTAGGGATTTTTGTTAATTGATTGATTGTAATTACTCATTTTCTTCACTTGATTTTAGTGCATTAATATACTTAGATGAAAAAAATAAAAAAAAAAAGGGAAATGATTTGACGATTTGACCATTTTTAGTCTAAAAATTGAGTGGGAGATATCACTTTTTTAACATACAAAAAGATAATTAATGCACTCATTATCAAAATTTATATTTCTCGACCCTCACCTAGCTATCTTGATTCTAAAACAAATGAACATATTTGGACGCATTTTATATACTTTTATGGCAATGGCAGTATTAAAACGTATTTTTAGAATAAAACGCAAAGTTGGGGGTATTTTTTTTTTTTATAATTTGGCCATAAAATAATAACTCAATAATAATTATTTTTTCTTTTAACAAATTTTAACAATTTTGTTTCTAGAGAATAGCTTTATACAAGAGTAAAATAACAGCTATAAAACATTAAGGATTTAATTGAGAAAAATAAACCTATTAAAAGTAAAATCGACAATTTTAAAGATTAAGAAGGAGATTGAAACATTTCCAAAATATTTTAAACTATTTCCTATATTTAGGAAGTGAAAATTTTGACTTTAATCGTGGAAGAAAAAATATTTAAAGTTGAATTCGGTGGCATAGGTTTCAAGTTTCTTCTAGATTAGAGTTTTAATTTCAGTAGGACCCGAATTAGGTAGAAATTCTGATTTTTATTTCAAATATTTATGGAGACTTAGATGAAGGAAGTTTTTTTCTTTCACGACTAAGATTGCTTTCTCAATCCAATCCCTCCCCATTAGTGGAAATTAACCGAATTAAAAATTTATTTCAATGCCAAATGGAGCGTAGCTCAACCGTAATTCATATATATTTTGAAAATTTATTTTCTTCGACGAATTGTGAAGCACGTTTTTTTTTTTGTCGTTGGAGATCCATAGTGACACTGCTCCAACGATAATTCTTGCATTGTTCCAATTTTCGTCACTAGTTGAGATCAACGACGAAAAAATTTCGTCGCTGAATGCCATTTTTCTTTTTTTCCTAGTGTTACCATTTTTAAATAAGTATAAAATTCTCATTATTAATATTATTTTCACAATGGTGATACTTGGTAGATGTTCTTTCTAATATTTTGTCCATATTTTTAAAATTTGTGTTGATGTCGTGTATACAAATATCGATAATCTTGATGGAAATTTAATATTTTGTCAGTCTGTCAACAACCCATTGGTAAAAAAAGATATTTACAAATATTGATAAATATTCTTCATCAATTGGAAACTATTGCATCCAAAGAGTTTATCACCTAGCGCGTTGGATATTGTTTGTTTATTTGCAATTACAACAAAATTTTCTCCCTTATTCTTTCAATCAAAACCTTAATATTCCGTGAGACGAACATCTGGATTTCCATATTTGTTTTGTTGTAATGTAAGATACTCGAGTATCTCGAGATGTTCGGGTATCCTAGGATGTCCATTTGAAAGATATCTGAGTTGATTTGGATGCCCTTTTGAAACATGAATTTCCATGATTCCCATGTCGATGACATCCTATGTTGACATTTTATCCTTTCGTTATTTTTTCATAATTTTTTTTATCAAATTTCTTTGGTTTTATTTGTAATTTTATAGTTTACATAAATTAATAATTGACTAATAAGCAATTAAGTATATTTATGTATTACACGTACATATAAAAAATTTCAATTAAATTATATAATATCTTCATTTACTTTTAATATTTGAAATGGATTATTATGAATAATATCTATTATCTTAAATACATAATTTTAAAGCAACATTTTCTTAACGATCAGCTTACCTTTGATATTTTTCTTTTTAAAAAATATAATTTGATAATATAATAAATGAATTTTATCCCATATAACATTAATTATATAATTATATATTTTTTAAAATATTAAAGTTGAAAATGAAATATATATTCAATATTAATTACTTTTTAAAAAGTCTTATATTAATATGAATTATGCCGATAAGTGATAACATACAAAAATATACATTATACGAAATTAATATAAAAAACCTAAAATATTAAATTAATTTTAAGAAAATCTATTATATAAATGTAAATTATATTATATTAATGTATAAATTATATGAATATTAGTAAGGTTGTTTTTGGATCATTATATAAATTTAGAATATTCCCATGAATAAATCCTACAAAACAAACATAGCTATCCAGATATTCCCGGACATCCATATATATTTTCCTACGAAAGAAATGTAGCCATCCGAAGATGTCGGAGATCTAAAATTACGGACATCTGAAATTTCAAGCATTTGAAGATGCCGGGCATCTGCATTTCTAAAAAACAAATGGCCTCTAAAAGTTAAATTTTTTTCATGCGTATTTTATTCTATCAAAATACTTCAAATCTCTTTGAATAATAATGATTCTATTTCACTTTTAAAACTTTATTTTATTAATTAAAATGAGTATGGAGGCGAGAAAATTTCAAACTCATATCAACGTTACCAAGTTATCGAGTGTCTTTAAAAATGATATCGAGACGGAGCATAATAGAGTCAAAGATAGGAATGTTCATTTTCTCCACGAGGTCCCATCCCTGCAGGGATACGCTTAAATGGGGTGAAGAATCCCCGTTTAAATTCCCCACTGAGTACGATGGGGAAAAAATTTTCCCCCTTACCTAAATGGGGCGGGAACGGGGAAATTCCCTGTCCGTGTTCCCTGTTTCTGCCCTGCCTCGTATTTGTTTAATACACACACACACATATATATATACACTACAAAATCTTATTATTCTTTCTATACTTACATATACTAATAAAACCACATTCTTCTCTACCCACCAAATATATAGAGGAGGATTAGACCATCTAAATAAAGTTTTTATCGTTGAAAATTAATTAATTAATTAAAAAAATTTTAAGAAAAATGTTTAATTGAAAAATAATTTAAAAGTAAAAGAATAAACGGGGGAGAATACCCACGGGGAACCCGATCCCCCGTGAATTCCCTGTAGGGAATCCCCACCCCGATCTCCACAAAATTTCGTGGGAAATTTCGTTGGGATGGGGAATTAAATGGAACCCGTCTTATGAACATCCCTACTCGAAGATAACTCTGCACACTCCAATTTTAAGGGGTTTTTTGTTTTTATAAGAATGTAGATCTTCATAACCTTGTTTGTTCAAACGTGTATCAATTAGCATTTATTGATTATTTCCTTTTGCTCACACATACCCTTATGTAATTACTTTAACATTATATTCCAGCAAAAGTGACAGTAATGGATACATATCTCACAAAAAAAAATCATGAATTCCAAATCCTACCTCACATGTTGTATTATGTTCAAATCAACTGTGATAGAACAATTACAAATCATTTCCCAAACACATTTGTTTTACATAATTTATTCTATCGGAGAGAATTAGGATTGAGGCAGGAGAATTCTCGGTTGGAGATCAAATTTTTCACAATATTTTTCTTAAAACAAACATTAATTTTAATATATTGAATTACATTAGTTTTATTGTCAAATTTAATAATAAGAAATTCAATAAAAATAATAAACTAAAAAGTTCTACGTCAAGGTGAGAAATTTATTCTCTATTTCGTATCAGAAAAAAACAGGAAGTTTTTTTGTTTCTCATATTCAAACCAGGCTCATTTCAAATGAAGATTTCTTTTATATAGATTTTTGTCAATCTCCAGAGATGTATTGACTAAAAAGGATGGCAGGTGATTAAAAAAAAAAAGGGTCCATTATTAGTTTTCAAGTCTATTATTATTATTATTATTATTTTTTTGTGTCAATGTCACTAATAAAATATTGACATTTGAAGACTTTATTAAAAAATATTTCCCAAACTTGAAGAGTTTAGAATATATTTTATTAAAATTTAAGGACTATTTGGTACAAAAGTTGTGGAGTAAAAATTAAAAGTTTATTTTTCATCTGTATTTTTGTTATATATTTATTGTAATTTAAAGTGAACCATGCGTATACATCTTGAAAAACTGAGCAATGTGACTTGCCACAAACTAGGGCAAAGACGAGACTTGGAGAAGAGAAAAATGTAACTCACGCGCCTTCCAATTTCTCAGAAATTGATGAAACCGATCAAATTAAGTAAACTTGGTCCATTTGAACCGTATTTTTCAGTCGGCTCAGATTTCTTGAAGTATAAAACTTTAGAAATAGTCGATCAATTTGGTTTGGATAAATTTGGTTGGTTTTTATCCGTTTGATTCTGTTTATGCAAAGGTCTACACAATGATACTTCACGAACCAAGCTTGAACCCGATCTTCGGCTCGACCTGAACACAAGAATGAACCTGCACAAGAGAGTAAACACTCCGACGCTCAAGTCAGTATAAGTTGGACTTCGTATTTAGTTCGAGGTCAGATTCTCTACTTGAGCGTGAAATGAGGCCCTCTATTTATAGGTGGGGGATCCGACAGTACTCACGACCGGCGGTTATATGTTTTTTCCCATATCGGACCTGTCGGGTTCCAAGTAGGTCGGACCTCCATCAGATCGAACTTCGGCACGTACACTTAACCTTTTCCCCATGGACGAACCCAACCTCTTCGGCAGGTTCGAGGTGGAGCTGGGAAACTTTAATTCTTAAACACCAATAAGCGTCCTCCACGTGTCCAAGGTATTTTTACCCCCAAACATTGGCCCCCTCTTTGTCAGGTTCGATCTCGACCTGGCAGAGAAATTGATAGATTTGATTTTGGACACGTGACGACTTTTAATTCGTAAGGAGAATATGACCGTTGCGGAAGACGTTTCGATCTGCCAGGTTGTCGGAGCACTTGAGTACTTCGCCGTTACAAATTTCGAGGTGATCCTGGCCACTCGTTTATTACACGTGTACGTCGTAGAGGATTTTCCGATTAGCTATAAATAGTTCTGAGACTTCAGGTCAAACCTCATGTTCCCTGAATTTCTGGAGTTCGATCTGAAACCAGCTCGAACCCTTTCGTAGGTCAGTCACTTTTCCTTGTTTTTATTCTTCTTTCAAATATGGTAGTTTTCTTGTCTTCCCCTTCCGGTAGTGATAGCCTAGGCAGCGCAGGTCGGACTATAAGTAGTTCGCCCCCCAAACCAAGTG